GATATCTCAGTTGTATTTGGATATACAGCGTTGCGGTTTTCACAATACTGTACTATTTTAAAAAACCTGAGTCCAACTATACATGAACATACTAATGTCTCATTTGAAAAGAATTCATGTTGGCTCCATTTTCTGAACAATAATCATTTATGGACGTCAAATAAATACGCCAGTGTATTCTACGTAAGAAAAGCAGAACTGTGAGAATTCTGTTTGCGGCCAGTGGCCGATCAAGGAAGCGGTGAAGGGAGAGATTATTCCTTGAGCCTCGTTGAAGATTGATACAAGAGAAGTGTATAGAAATCGGCCAGTGCTGTAACTTCTGAATCAATCGTGATAGGATTTCGAAATTTCATGGGTAGCAACTAGGTATACCAAATTAATCATTTATTGATAAAATCACTTCCGTTTCAACCGGAATCAACCTCAACTTTTTATGTTTGAATAGAAAACCCTGTATATTCTTTAATATTCATCTTGGATTTCCTGTATATACGTAAAAAATTTGTATCAAAGTTGGGCCAACAGGGCCAACATAAATAATTTAGTAATGTGAAAACCGCAACTCTCTATCTCCAAAGACAACTTAGAAAATCATCGATAATGTCACACATTGTATACCTACCCCGAGATCTAGGTACCTATATCGAAGTTTCATCATCGAACAATACTCATATGTTTCAAAAATCGCATTACCGTTATTGATAAAGCATCTGTACTTAGGTAGGTATGTAGGTACAATATTTTGCCAAATCTAGGGATCCTATATTATTCCATCATTATTTCCCAATATTGTACCAATAACTTCTCAACAATATTGTTTCGATATCGTGCTGAAATGAGTAGGTACACATTGTGTGTGCTGCTGGATAACTTATGGCGAACACTGATGTGTACGTAACAAAAAAGTATCTACGATTTTACTTAGGTACATGGACTTTAGTACTCGAATGATATCAATAGGTTAACTTATACTTGTTACATAGTAAGTAGGTAAAAACATTTTTCTGACTGAACTACCAAACTGCACGAGGGCATCGAGTGGTCGAAAAATTTTTCAGATTTTGCAGCATCAGCACATGGTATGGCAAGGAAGAACATAATCAAAATTGTATCAAAGTTGAACTAGTATCAATAATTGGGATAAGTAATTTTACCTTATTATTTTTTGCACCACTGTTATAATATACCACTCGCGATCCACGCCACACGCTTGAAGACTCTATGAGACAACTAAAAGAACTGAGCTAGTGAGTGTCGAGCGAAGATAGTCACTCTACTGAGGTATTTGCCCGACAGTGTTGTCGGGTGTACTAGTAGACACGTTATACTAGAAACATACATTTCTTGTTCAGACAAGAATATCAGAATAATGTGAAAAAACTGGAATGCCTACCTAGGTGTATCTTGAATTGAAATTCCACAATAAATTAAATCATTTGTTTGATGTTATATTTGTGCACAAGTTCAGAATCCCCAAGTGATATGGAGGAAGCAACACAAAATGCACTATTCTCTTATTCATCCATTCATAATTTCGTTTCATTTCATAACTTGTGTTGAAATGAACATTGCATCACCAATTATGTATTATTCCACTTTGCGCATTTGTTTATACAGTGTGTCCCACTTACCATGCTCACGATGGGTATCTTTTTAACGGTGAGATATACGAGGTCGGTTAAATTACACCAAATGTGGAGTTTGTCAAGGCCAACTATGATGTGAAAAAATATTTTGATAAAATCTATTCGTTTTTGTTTTATACGCAAAAAACAAATTTTGATCATTTTCATGTCTCCTCCGTAACTTCTTTATTCATGAAAATATTCAGATAGGAATTTCACATTCTCATGGGAGTTTTTCGAAGTGAATTCGAAGAAAATATGATAACTCTTCTAGAATTTGAGATATCAGCACCAACTTTAGTTGTTCAAATGAAGCTCATAGCTCACTATGACTTAGTTACAAATAACTTTTTTTCCTCTTACAGATGACATGTCGCAGTTATAGTTTTGTGTTGATAACAACGGAGTTATCGTCATTTATACAAAAACATAAACTTATTTGGAAGCCGCCATCTTGAATTCACAAATTTTAACAAAAATATCATAATCGTCGACCTCAAAAACCCCCATTTACCAATTTTGAATGGAATGGGACCAAATCTTGTCCGCCATCTTGGAGCAGCCATTTTTTTTGAATTATTTTCATTTCCATTTACTAATCAATGCATATTGTTACATACAAACAAAGCGTATGGTCAAATTTAGACGTTCGTTCAGAACTACGCAAAAAATAATCGCATCGAATACAATTCGAACTTTGAAATCTTCAAGATTGTGCATCTTAAACTTTCTGCACAATTAAAAATAATCGTGCCCGTTCAACATAATAATCCTTTCGCATCGTGATCGGATTATTTCAACTGTTAAACTGATACTCTTCGTAATTATATGCAACAAAAGTTATCGATGTTTAGCCCTAATCTTTTGAAGTACTTATAGTATTATAGTATTACTACTCAAAATACTAGATTTAGTGACAAAACCAAGATGGCAACAGTAGTGACTAGTCTTGTCGTTCACGGTAACACTCGAACGTGCGCGAGAAAGCTCTAATATTGAGAATTCATCATTGAATTGATATTAGGTGTTTGATATGGTACACATATATGAAATCTAGAAGGTTACTTCACTATATTGAACCTGATGTTTGCTAGCAATATTGAACTAATCTTCATTTCTCAATATTGCTCCATTATCATCATGTTGATAGTATCTAGAGATTACGCCTCAATATTATATCAATATAACTGACTGAACTCAAGATGGATAATATCGCTTGCACATTGTGATGACAACATCGAATTGATATTGGGATCTGATTATGGTACAAATATATGGAATCAGGAAGTTGGTTCCACAATATTGAACACTATGATTATTTGCAATATGAAATTCATATTCATTTATAAAGATTGCTCTATTATCATCTTGATGATAGTTTCAAAAGAGATCACAGCACAATATTGTATACATAAAGTTGACTGGAATAAGCATTAGAATTATTGCTCTGATATTGAGATTGTATCATTGAATTTACACTGAGTTTTTGATGTGGTACACATCAATGGAATCAAGAAGTTGAACTCACGATATTGAACCTAATGATTATTTGCAATATAGAATTATCTTCATTTCTCAATATTATCCCTTTATCATCCTGTTGATAGTATCAAGTGATTCCACCTCAATATTATATCAATATAACTGACTGAACTCAAGATGGATAATATTGCTTGCACATTGTGATGACAACATCGAAATAGTATTGGGATCTGATTATGGTACAAATATATAGAATCAGGAAGTTGGATTCACAATATTGAACACAATGATTATTTGCAATATGATGATCATATTCATTTGACAATATTGCTCTTTCATCATCTTGATGATAGTTGCAAGAGATCAGAACACAATATTGTATACATAAAGTTTACTGAAATATGCATAGCTAATATTGCTCTAATATTGAGATTTCATCATTGAATTGACCTTGGGTTTTTGATATGGTTAACATGAATGGAAACAAAAAGTAAACCTCACGATATTGATCCTAATAGTTATTTCCAATATCGAATTATCTTCATTCCTATTTATGGATGATATTATTGCTTGCACATTGTGATCACAGCATCGAATAAATATTGGGATCTGGTTATGGTACAAATATATGGAATCAGGAAGTCGGTTTCACAATACTGAACATAATGATATTTCGCAATATCTAAATCATCTGCATTTCTCAATATTGCTGCAACCTCATCCTGATGAAATCCACTAGAACAATATCGCTGGGATATTGGGATTTGATCATTGAATCCATATAGAGTTTGTGATATGGTACACATATATGGAATAAATTGATCGACCTCACGATATCCAACGTGATGATTCTTTGCAATATCGAGGTCATCTCCATTTCCCAATATTGCTTCATTATCAAACAGATGATGGTGTCATAAGAATACAACTCTTTATTGTATACATATAATTTACCAATATCCACACAAACAATATTGGTGGAATATTGGGATGTCATCATTGAATAGCAGTTTTGTATTCGATATGGAATACATATATGAAATCAAGAAGTCCACGTGACGATATTGAACCTGATGTTTTATTGCAATATCCTCCAAGATACATTCTATCGATATAGGTTACATATCCAGTTGTAATATGAACTGATATCAGGCAATCAATATATCTATCATGAAGATTTATCAATATCGAGACATAAATCATCAGGATATAGGAGGAATATAGATTTCATCACATATGTTATTATGAATATCGATACAATGTAGGATTCACAAGATCCTGAAAAATGTAAGCCTATCAACATTGTATTCATATTGATCCGTCTAGCTCATTTATTCAATATCGTTACAATATCATCCGACCGATTTACGATATTCAAATATTGGGCCAATGCAGAGCCGATTTGCAGCCGATATTCTGTGCTACTGGGGATTCTACGATATTTCAAGGCATGTTTACTGATAGACTATACGAGTTTTTAGCAGACTTATGGGTAGAGAATATCGAGAACGAATCTGTCTTCGTAAAGCAATGCATATCTCAATTTCTGTAAAAATATGACATTCCTTGTTTTTTCCCTTCACCCTTCATTAACCTATAATCGTCAAAAAAATTCCAGTGTAATCTCATGCTCCGTCCCCCAATGAGGAGGAGAAAATGTCCAATAAATTAGTTGTTATGGTACCGATACGAAATACAGGCTCTGAACTCGGCTTTGAATCTCGCTTTGAATTGATCGAAAATGTTCGGTGTGAAATGTTCAGTCGAATGTGTCAACACCTTGTTCATGCCAACTTCACATCATCTTTCATTTCTTCAACTGTCTCACCGAAACAGCGATAAAAAGTTACGATGTCTGCGTGGTCGGAAAGCAGCGTACCAGACACTCACCTTTAATAAAATCCAAAGCCATCTCCAGCCCGTACGTGTCTTTGTCGCAGTCGTCGAGAATATGCGCTCCCAGCTTTATATCCTGCAAAATAGGTCTATCCGCCGAATTGACCCTATCCAGAGTATACAGCATCGTTTCCAGAGCTTGGATCCCGCCCTGGGGCATGACAGGTCCGCAAGTCACCGAGTCCTCTCGCTCGTGCACCATCATCAAACCGCCTAGAATCAAGTCGCCCTCCACCACAGCTTCCTTCTTTACCGGCCAAGAGATGTCCTCGTGGTGGTGCCTCAAATGGTGGTGGTTTCCTTCCGGGGCGAGAGATTCTGGGCCCCTCTCCCAATGTCTTCCGGCGATTATGTCAGTTCTCAAAGATTTTAAGAGGGATTCGTGGTTCGGGTTGGATCGACTGTGGTGGTTGTGTGGTTTAGTGAGACGGAAAGAGTTCGTTATAAAGATAATACCGAGAACGGTGTGGACGTCAAACTTCATTCTTTCATCACAGTTTTTTGGGAAGAGCGAGCGATACACGGCGGGATTAATCTAGAATGAAGATATCATATGTCAGAGACTGGCTGTGTGTTATATTTGAGGTTTCGCAATTATTATGTACTGAACGAGAAACTGTATACCCCTTTTGTTCGCTTGATTGTTGATGGTTTTCGGATCATTGCTCAGATATCGGCTAGACACAGTCTGCCTATATACGGAAAGGTCATGTCGAAAATGATACAGTGAGCCAAAATAATGTGAGAACTTCATATGAAAAATGTCAATCGCACTTCTTTACGCAGTTATTGTCCTTGAAAGTTTCTGCACGTTCCCATCATTACTAAACTCATCTATATGTTACCAAAGTATTGAATACGTACTGTAAACATAATGGGTGTGTACACCTTAGTAAAACTTTTAACTCAAACCATGTTTATAATGTTCCTTTTATAAATATATTTATAAATGATGATTGACGACATAATTCGATCGAAAAATCAACTAGAATGTTTCATTTTTGGATATAAATTATAGTACCTTCTGAAAACGGACCCTTTTATGACGTAGAAACCTCATCTCGCCATAGTTAAAAAAAAATATGAAACGCCTGACGGAGACTGAGGCAACTGATATATTAAATCTTTCAACTGAGATCTCGCGCTAATTCACTCTGTCAGAAATCATGTATCATTCAGCTCTGTATGGAATAGTCCTGTTTCAGTATAAGGGGTTTCGACGTCACATCATCGCCTCGTTTCAGAGGTCCGAAAAATCGGGGATTTCAATAATTTGTCATAAAACGTAGGGAGCTCACAGCAAGAAACGGTTTTCGGTGGTGAGCTAGTTTGGGTGAGTTCTATCGAATTATGAAATAAAAATTGTTTGTGATATAAGCCCATTTGATGTCAATCTTGACAATGACTGCAACTATCATGAAGGTAATGAATAAATATAGTTTTTATTACCTTTGAAATGGATGGGGTGAATGCTTTCAAACTGCGATTTTTTCTACAACGGTACAAGATTTCAATTGAGATGACGTGTACTACTTCTGTAGGGAACAGATGGAGGAATGAAACGGTGGAAGCAAATTGTCAAATTTGTCACCTCTGTCAAAAATACCTTCATCAAACGAAAAAACTTCGTCTCATCCTGTATAAAACATAATCACTGAACAGCCGTTCACATATCGAAAGGATAGCATGAGTATCAGTTAATTCAGTTGCCCCAATATCATTGATACCATGGCAACCGTTTAAAAGTAACACATGAAATGAATTTTTTCTTCAAACTTTCAAGGTCAATAGCTCCGTAACGAAGTGCGATAGACATTTTTTCATATGAAGTACTGACAATATTTTGTCTCCCTCTATATCAGCCCTATCATTGATGATAAGACCGTTCCACACACCGCCTGTATCTATAGTGGAATCATCCAAGAATCAATTGTCTTTTTCTATTCTATGAGATGAAGGAATTCCTCAGATTCTCTTCTCCCTATCACTATCAATGTGCTAATAAAGAATTTCTATACATAGTAGAAATGGTCAAAGGTCTCAGGAAGCTCAGATTCTTCTTGAAAATTCACGAATAATGGTTATTCATTTTACCAAATTCTAAAATGACAGCCATCGTTACCACATTCTTTATTCTTTGGAAACCCACATCAAATTTTTTCACACCTTACATACAGGGTGTTTCCTTGGCTGACTATAGACTGAAAGTTACTATGAACATAAATGTCCTAATTTGATTCGTTATTGAGACACAGGGTTTCGATTCGCTTACTAAGCAATCATTGAAGAAAAATCGAAGTAATTTCAATGATATGGTGGATGATATTGGACCAATCGGATTAACAGTGTTGCCGTTAGGCAAATATCAGTTTTTTACTAAAAAGTGAATTTGCTAAAATTTTTTTCTGGAGTTGATTGAGAATGCGAAACCTATTTCGGATCATCAACTGAAAAATTAGCTTCATTTCTACATAAACAGGACTTGAGAGTTGCATATAGAAAAAATAACACGTCGAGAAGGTTTATCAAAAATAATGAAGACAAAACTTCTAAATTCGAAAATTTAGGGGTATACAAACTTAACTGTGGATCTTGTCCTAAGGTATATATCGGTCGGACAGGTCGTATGTTTATTCAGCGCATTCATGAACATAAGATACATTTTTTGAAAAAGAAAACAAATTCAACATACGCCAACCATATATCAGAAGAAAACCATAGTTTTGATGATGATTTTGAAATTCTGCACGTAGAAAATAAAGGAATGAAACTCAATCATTTTGAATCATTAGAAATCAACAAACTCAAAAATTTTGACATTTTACTTAACGATCAATTAGACCTCGATAGTTCACCACTGTTGAATTCATTTTCTTAGTAGATAATGATATTTGTTTGCTATCAGCCCTTTTTATGTTAATCCGGAACACAGCATTTTGAAGTAGATATTGTGCCTAATTTCCGAAAATGGAGGTTTATCCAACCTGTCCACAGGTAACTAGTACTTCAAGTTGGGAAACTAGGATATATAAAAGTTAAGCAAGCCAACGTTGGTTTAGTTCATTGTACCATTTTATCACCTGACGAGTTTTCACACTCATCCATACAGAGTCCATAACTATAGAACCACTCAGATGGAATAAGAAATTCCAGTAATGTCAGTTCTTTTGAAGGCCGAGCACGTGACGAACGTTCTTTGCTCGAGGCGCTCCATCTGATTTTTGATCGACTATAAACATGTCTAAACTACCTATTCTACTTGTTCACATGTAGTATTAGCCATATATATTTATATGTAACGTATATTCACATCATACCAGGACATCGAATCCATCCTTGCATAAATTCCCGGTATTCATGAATCATCCATGAAGTTCTAATTACGACCGAATGATATTCACGAATTTGCATGTCAACTCGGATTCCACTATTATATACATACGTTGCGATTCGTTACGTAATCCTTGTACATTTATGGTAAGTGGTAGATAAATATTTAGCGAACATGCTAAGCAAGCTAGTCTTTAAAGAGGTGATAAATTTGAAATATTTAGCTTTTCATGTATATATTCCGAAATGCCATGTGGATAAAATAGTTCTTCGTTATTTTCGAACGTTGAACTTGCCTTGACAAATATATGATTGAACTTCCTGAACATTGCACCACAACATCCACATAATTCAACTCAAACGAATTTAGAATTAGGCATCTACTCATCGTATATTCCAGGATAATTGAATAACTTCCCCAGTCACATGTGGAGGGATAGCATTCTGCTGATTGAATTACTCTGTCCCTTCTATCGGATAAACTATTCCTTTTGAGGTGGTTCCGATGTAACAGAGACTCGAATTCTTTAAACGGATGAATTATGTATGGAAATTCGTTTTCGACTATGGAATGTGATTTTGGTTCAAGAAATGAATGACATAAAGAATATGCCGATATAATGAGACATTGAGTAGTATTTGATGATAATTCATCATACTTGAAGAGACATCACAAACGATCAGTTATGAAATTTCGAAAACATTCCACACATAGATAATTTAGCAAGTAACAGTAGTAACAGATATTAGATTGGGAACCAAGACGTTGCAGCTGAATTCGCATATAAGTTGTGGTGTGATATGACTTAATCTTCCACACTGACAAAAAATTTCGACGATATTGAAGACACACAGAAATCTTCGAATAGGAGTGTCTACAGGGTCTACCGCTGTGATTCTAATGGTCGGTTGCATAAAGCATTTGACAAATATGTACATATATTTCATTTCTTCGAATCCATGGCATAGTATCTGTGTAAACCTGTCAGATTGATGACTAGAATCTACTGGTACTTTTTTGTTTCGCCAAGGTGGTTCAAATCCTTTATGGGAGCTAGTCCTCTGACTCCTTGATGGTATACCCACTAAAACACTCCGCATCCTTAGTAGGATCGTCTGACTGATGTCTTCGGTGACACTTAGGGCTACTGGCCCATTGTATTCTACCTACAGCCGTTATCAATTTTACCATATTCGACTCATGGTGCTCATTAAGGACCACTTCAATATGAAAGACTCTTCTGGTTCAGGTTTTCGAAGATAACTCTTTCAATCCCTGTTCTCTCTCGTCTACGAGTAAGGCTACAAGTTCTCCTTCTCTCACGAGTGACGGGGGGAAGGAGTTAATCCAGCCCTGTCGTACCCCCTGTACAGAGCTAAGGCTGTTAACCCTGAGATGTGCCCTGGTTCCCAGAGGCCTCGTTAGCGACACCATACCTCGGTGCCATTCATCCATCGCCAAGGGTTCTCACAGCTTGGATTAGATTGCCAGAGCTTCGTTGACCAGTCCTTGGCCACCTATACAGATATCAGCAAATCGCTCCCTTGTCACTACAGATGTCCACAAATAATTGTCCCATCTGGCCCGGAGAAGAGAAGTTGGCCAAGGAAGGCCGATAGAATAGATTGGAAAAGGAAGAGAAATGAGGATATCACCCAAGACAAGTTGGAGTTTTTGTAAAAGTGATTCATAATAGCATAAATGATAGGCTCTATAGACATTTACAGCACCTCATTGCACCAGCGCAACATTGGTTTGTTAAGCAAAAATCAACTGTCACTAATTTAATGATCTTTAGTCAAGATGTAGCATCTGCTATCGACCAGGACAAGCAGGTAGATGTCATTTATACAGACTCAGCTAAAGCTTTTGATGGAGTCAACCACAAGGCATTACTCAATAAAAAAAAGGAGTTCTCAATCAATGAAAATTCAATATCATTTTTGAAATCATATCTGTATCACAGAACTCAATTTGTTCAATTCAATAAACATCGATCGGATAACTTTATTGCATTATCAGGAGTACCCCAGGGATCTATTTTGGGTTCATTCCTTTTCATTCTTTCTGTGAATGACATTGGAGATTTTATAAATACATCTATGTTTGCTGATGATTTGAAGCTTTATAAAATGATCAATGACGAAAATGACAACATTTCACAACAACAAGACCTCGACAGACTCATCTCGTTCTGCAAGTTGAATGACCTTCTACTGAATGAAAATAAATGCAAAACTCTATAAACTCTATCATTTACTCGTAAAGCTAATCCCATTGATACAGAGTACTGGGTGAATAAAACTAGAATAGAAAAGGTACAAGATTTCAG